TATTGTGACCCTCCCCCCCCCCCCCCCGTGGCCTGACCTCTGTGACCTGACCTGGTATCAGTGACCTCAAATAGCAAAATACAAGCGGCTGCGCCACTTGCTTCGCGGCGTAGCCATAAAATGCGGCAGCAGCCAATTTGCTTTCGAATGGTGTTTGATTTAAATTGATATGTCGTCTGGAAGCAGAGATATGGACGGAAACGTGCAGAGGAAAATTTTGAACATAATAACTTAGTTGGATGAAATTTGGGTCATACGGGGTCAAGTCAGGTCAAGCTGGTCATCCCCGGTCACACTGGGTCAGGCCAGGTCATCTTCGGTCAGGTTAGGTCGTATAGGTCACCACGTCACATTGGATCGGCCTGTACCACACTTCTACTGCTTCTACCCCTACCCCTACCCCTACCACTACCACTACCACTACTCCTACCACTACCTCTACCACTACCCCTACCACTACCACTACTTCAACTCCTACCACTACCCCTACCCCTACCACTACCCCTAACCCTACCACTACCCCTACAACTACATCTACCACTACCCCTACCACTACCACTACCACTACCAATACCCCTAACACTACCCCTACCCCTACCACTACCGCTACCACTACCCCTACCACTACCCCTACCACTACCCCTACTTCTACCCCTACTACTACCTCTACTACTACCCCTACTACTACCCCTACCACTACCCCTACTACTACCCCTAACACTACCCCTACCACTACCCCTAATACTACCACTACCCCTACCGCTACTACTACCGCTACACCTACCACTACCACTGGGTCATGTGAGGTCGGAGACCATCAGATAAACTGATAAACTAAAAACGAGTTCCTAACCGTGCTCCTACTCGCGTAATTCCATTATTCTTAATCATATTTGGTCGAAAATGGCGCCTTGTGACGAATGTGGCGCGTTGCGACAAACGTGGCGCATTTTTACCTGTCGTTTAATCATGCATCCTTCCACCGAATCGCACCTTTATCGGACCATATTTGATAAAATTGTGCGATTTGCGGCAAAAATGGCACCTCGTGACAAATGTGGCGCACTACGGCAAACGCGGTGCATTTGTGTAAGCGCATTGAAAGCTGTCTTTAATTACTGAAAATCGACACCTTCATTCGCCTCTGTTTAGCAAAATAAATAAGCTGCCAATCTGCAAATGAGAGGCACCCGCCGCCGATCGTCATGCATTTTATTGTCAAAGGCGATTGAACCTGGCTGCCGATGCCTTGAAGCAAGCTTGAGAGCCGAGCAAAATTTGGAGAAAATGCACCTTTTTCCAGGGCGTGCCACGTGCGACCCATCCACCCCCGGGACTCGAAACACGACACTGCACGTGCGCGTGACGTCATCAACACCCTGCGAAAATTTCAGCCCCCTCGACCGCACCGTTTGACCTGTGCACGGCGTCAAAGCACCCCTCTGCACGGTGCAAACACACAGACACACAGAGTTTCATTCTACAAATAGTATAGTAGACAAGCGGCTGCGCCACTTGCTTCGCGGCGTAGCCATAAAATGCGGCAGCAGCCAATTTGCTTTCGAACGGTGTTTGATTTAAATTGATATGTCGTCTGGAAGCAGAGATATGGACGGAAACGTGCAGAGGAAAATTTTGAACATAATAACTTAGTTGGATGAAATTTGGGTCATACGGGGTCAAGTCAGGTCAAGCTGGTCAATGGTCATCCCCGGTCACACTGGGTCAGGCCAGGTCATCTTCGGTCAGGTTAGGTCGTATAGGTCACCACGTCACATTGGATCGGCCTGTATCACACTTCTACTCTTCTACCCCTACCCCCTACCCCTACCACTACCACTACCACTACTCCTACCACTACCTCTACCACTACCCCTACCACTACCACTACTTCAACTCCTACCACTACCCCTACCCCTACCACTACCCCTAACACTACCCCTACCCCTACCACTACCGCTACCACTACCCCTACCACTATCCCTACTTCTACCCCTACTACTACCTCTACTACTACCCCTACTACTACCCCTACCACTACCCCTACTACTACCCCTAACACTACCCCTACCACTACCCCTAATACTACCACTACCCCTACCGCTACTACTACCACTACACCTACCACTACCACTGGGTCATGTGAGGTCGGAGACCATCAGATAAACTGATAAACTAAAAAAGAGTTCCTAACCGTGCTCCTACTCGCGTAATTCCATTATTCTTAATCATATTTGGTCGAAAATGGCGCCTTGTGACGAATGTGGCGCGTTGCGACAAACGTGGCGCATTTTTACGTGTCGTTTAATCATGCATCCTTCCACCGAATCGCACCTTTATCGGACCATATTTGATAAAATTGTGCGATTTGCGGCAAAAATGGCAACTCGTGACAAATGTGGCGCACTACGGCAAACGCGGTGCATTTGTGTAAGCGCATTGAAAGCTGTCTTTAATTACTGAAAATCGACACCTTCATTCGCCTCTGTTTAGCAAAATAAATAAGCTGCCAATCTGCAAATGAGAGGCGCCCGCCGCCGATCGTCATGCATTTTATTGTCAAAGGCGATTGAACCCGGCTGCCGATGCCTTGAAGCAAGCTTGAGAGCCGAGCAAAATTTTGAGAAAATGCACCTTTTTCCAGGGCGTGCCACGTGCGAACCATCCACCCCCCGAGCTTCAAAACACGTCACTGCACGTGCGCGTGACGTCATCAACACCTTGCGAAAATTTCAGCCCCCTCAACCGTACCGTTTGACCTGTGCACGGCGTCAAAGCACCCCTCTGCACGGTGCAAACAGACAGACAGAGTTTCATTTCACAAATAGTATAGTAGACAAGCGGCTGCGCCACTTGCCTCGCGGCGTAGCCAGAAAATGCGGCACCAGCCAATTTGCTTTCGAATGGTGTTTGATTTAAATTGATCTGTCGTCTGGAAGCAGAGACATGGACGGAAACGTGAAGAGGAAAATTTTGAACATACCTAATCTGTGGGCTTATTTGGATGAAATTTGGGTCATGCGGGGTCAAGTCAGGTCAAGTTGGCCATCCCCGGTCACACTGGGTCAGGCCAGGTCACCTTCGGTCAGGCCAGGTCGCATAGGTCACCACGTCACATTGGATCGGCCTGTACCACACTTCTACTACTTCTACCCATACAACTACTCCTACCACTACCCCTACCACTACCCCTACCCCTACCCCTACCACTACCCCTACCACTACCACTGCCCCTACTACTACCCCTACCACTACCCCTACCACTACCCCTACTACTACCCCTACCCCTACCCCTACCCCTACCCCTACCCCTATCACTACCCCTACCACTACCCCTAACACTACCCTACCACTACCCCTAATACTACCACTACCCCTACCGCTACTCCTACCAATACTACTACCACTACACTACCACCACTACCACTGGGTCATGTGAGGTCACAGATTTTCATATAAACTGGTGAACTAAAAAAAGAGTTCCTAACCGTGCTCCTACTCGTGTAATTCCATTATTCTTAATCATATTTGATGGAAATAGCGCCTTGTGACAAATGTGGCGCATTGCGGCAAACGCGGTGCATTTGTACTTGTCGTTTTGTCATGCATCCTTCCACCGAATCGCACGTTTATCGGACCATATTTGACAAAGCTGTGTAATTTGCGGCAAAAATGGGGCCTTTAGACAAATGTGGCGCATTACGGCAAACGCGGCGCATTTGTGTTAGCGCAGTGAAAAGTGTCTTTATCTACCGAAAATCAACACCTTCATTCGCCTCTGTTTATCAGAATAAATAACTTGCCAATCTGCAAATGAGAGGCACCCGCCGCCGATCGTCATGCATTTTATTGTCGAAGTCCATTGAACTCGGCTGCCGATGCCTTGAAGACCGAGCAAATTTGTGAAGAAATACGCACTTTTCCAGCGCGTGCCACGTGCGAACCATCCACCCCCCGGGACTCGAACCTCGACACTGCACGTGCCCGTGACGTCATCAACACCGTGCGAAAATTTCAGCCCTCTCGACGGCACCGTTTGGCCTGCGCACGGCGTCAAAGCACCCCTCTGCACGGTGCAAACAGACGGACAGACAGAGTTTCATTTCACAAATAGTATAGTAGATATAAATATGTAAAAATGATCAATAACATGGCAGAAATGTAAAACTTTTATTGTAAAATAGGCCAAATATGAGAATGAGCTTTCGCTTTACAGCATCATCAGATTCATTCTCATATTTGGCCTATTTTACAATAAAAGTTTTACATTTCTGCCATGTTATTGATCATTTTTACATATTTATATCTATTCATCATGGCAAAAAGCACCATCTCACATATTAAAAATAGTATAGTAGATGTGTTTGAAGAACATTTCCCCATCGATGATTTTCAATAACATACCAATTTACTCGATTTTACAACGCATTTCTTGAAATGCCTGTAAACGGTGAAAATTCGACCTTTGACCTGACCTGCGACGTCATCGGTTTGACCTAGGTCAATAAAATTGGGTCACAAGGTAGTTCCCTGATAGGGCTATCCAACACCGTTTGCCGCTTGTCGCTAGGTTGCGTGGTTCTCGAGATCTTAGGGGGGTGCCAAATTGCCCCCCCCCCCCCAACGGGGCGCGTTGCTCGGCAGAGCCCAACGGGGCGCGGGTTAAGGGGGGCACTGCCGACTTTTGGTCCCATTCTTTCCATGCAACGCCCATAGGGCTAATGTCAAAATTCCAAAATTAAAGGGAGCACGGTGTCCCGGTGCCCTCCCCGTTCCGCCGCCTACGACGCCAACGCTGAGTGACAACCTAGGTAAGTTGCCAGTCCAGAAATATATGTTAAAGGTGTTTTAATTTTTCAATACATCGTATGTGCGTTTCAAGTGCATATAGAAACATAGGGCAAGAAGCAAAACTGCCGAAATTTTCCCACGGAATTATCGTCGTTAATGAGTTAAGACAATCCCCTGTTCCGCAAATCACTGAATCTCGTAAATCTCACCGAACGCTGGCAGCCAGACGCCGATGACAAAGACCAGCACTGAGCCTATCAGGTAGACGACTCCGCTGGCGGCGACCAGCAGGAGCAGCAGGCTGGTCAGCGGGTGCAGCTGTCGGCGCTTGGGCCGGCCAGCGGTCCAGCTCAGCAGGCCGGCCGGTGCTGTCAGCGCCAGCAGGCCGCAGCCCAGCTGCGCCGGGTGCAGCACACTGCCGGCCAGAGCAGACCGGGCTCAGTCGCCACCCCACGCCACACACACCGTGTCCCGCCGCCGCATTGAGCAGACCGGGCTCAGTCGCCACCCCACACACACTGACACCGTGTCCCGCCGCCGCATTGATGAGTGGCTGCTGTCGGCCGTCATCTCCGGGACCGCGACCGGCGGGCAAATGACATTTTACCGGGGTCCCGCCCCAGGGCATCTGACCCCGCGAGACCCCTGACCGTCGGTACTATGATGGTGATGATTGAGGATCATCATCATCATCATCATCATCATCATCATCGTGATAATGATCATCTGATGATGCCACTAAGCACTCATAGTACTATAGTAGTTACTTGCACAAGCTTCAGATGCATTCCTTACAAATTAAAAAAAAAACATTCTATTCCACATCATTGATTCATCATCATCGCAATTGATTTATAGGTACCCTGTTCTCCCTATTTCCGTGCGACAGATTTAAAGAGTGACGAGACAGTTCCGGAGTGGTTTTACGTGGCAATTAACGGCATTATTTAAATAGGAGTTGTTACGGACGAGTCAATGTCAAAGTCAAATTCGATTTTATGATGTAAATGAATGAAGTACATATGAATGAAAGGTATATGTCAAGTTTAGGTCCTAACTACAATTGTGACGCTGTTGATACGAATATGAAACAGCAAAAATTTTAGGTTTTAGGTTAGGTTAGGTTGTAGGTTTTAGGTTGTAGGTAGGTAGGTTTGTAGGTTAGGTTAGGGTAGGTTTGTAGGTTGTAGGTTGGTAGGTTATAGGTAAGTAGGTAAGGTTAGGTCAGGTTTGATTATGTTTTATTCTTTTATTTGCGAGACATATGAGTATCATTTTTGGATTCAGGAAGTCAAATAATGTAAAAATATGAAAAATTTATCAATGAAATCTTCTTAGGACTTAAACTTGACATTTACCGAATGAAAAAAGTATGATACCCATCTAACCATGCAGAACCCTCACGAAAGGTACAGCCGAACTGCTAACAAGCAATTTTGGGGTCCACCCGTTGCACCTCAAGAAAAGCAAGGTTCCAAAATGCAGTCATCTCGAAGAACTGTTGTAGAATCCAGAGGAACTGACCTAGGGTTCTCAAATTTTGAAATGATGTTGTAAACATTTCTAAGTAACTACCATGTACGTCTCAATTGGTTTTTACAGGAATTGGGAAAACAACAGCCATCGAAAGTTGGGGGCCCGTTTTTGGGGGGTCACGCTGCATAATGGAGAGAGAGCAAAATTGGCCTATCCTTGGCCTAACCTTAGGTCACTGATATCAAACACTTCAGGAAATATACGTCACTCAAATTATTTTTTGTTACAGTTTGATGACTTTTATGCTTACAAAGTTAATATGAACAGAGAAGAAAATTATGCATATCTGTAATCTGCAAAAGGAATTAAAAAATATTTACGTATAGAAATAATCATTTTCCATCTTTGGTAGAGGCTACATAATGTTTGCAGCAGAAGCTGATTGAGCATTGACCAATCATATTATCTAGTTCCAACTAACTTCACAGTTCACACAAATGACGAACCAAGCATAGAAAGCACAATTCGGTAGGTAACGATCTGCACAGCATTGCACTCACCCAATGACCAGGAAAATGGCAATAACAAGCAAGAAGTAGTTTGTCTGATAATACAGCAGGTTATGGACGACCCTGTTAGTCCATTTGTCAGCATCCTTGAAGTTTGGAATCTGAAATCTTGCTGAGTTCAGCATGAAGTCATCCATGCTTTTTAGTGGGGCAATTTCGACATCCATCTGGACTATAGTCTGGAAATGTATGCAGCAGAATAAATAGTAAGTTCCGTATCAGTAGCCATTAGCATCGCCACGGGGGGCAACCGGCAACCTACAGCAGCGGCGGAATACCTTTAATTACGGGGGGGGGGTACTGCCAACCTTTGGTCCCATTCTTTCCATGCAATGCCCATAGGGCTAATGTCATCATGGCAAAATCAAGGGGGCATGGTGCCCCTCCCCCTGTTCCGCCGCCTATGACAACCTCAAGCACCCCAAATGATATAGATTCGGTGCGTATTTACAAATTGCAACCGAGCTCCGCCGTGGGGTAAGGTGGGCAGGGGTTTTCGCCAGTTTTCGCACTACGGCTGCGGTTGAACTACAGTCTGTGGTAGAAACTTCGGGATGATGGCGCGTTTCATACGAAATCTGGCGCAATGTTTGTTTGCTTCTGAACTTGTATTGTTATTGCTGTGAGCTCTTGAAGTGGGAGTGTTTCAATAACAATTTGTGGATTATTTGAGTTTCTTGCTATAAAAATCGAATAATATTATGAAACATTGTGTGGAAACTGCAAATAATGATATAATCAATTGCTTAGTTTGGGAATTGATACACATTTTGTAGAGGTTTGTCTGGCAAATGGTGTAACAAACTTCAAGCCTATCATGATCTGAAGCTGTTGTAACAAATCAAAATTGTTTTGATGTTCCATAGTACCTTGTTGGAAAGACTGGAGCATGGTTCAAGATGATGTTTAAAAATTCAAGATTTGTATAAAAGCTCATGACTGAAGAGCAAAAACAGTTATATGATGGCTCAATCAAACGTGGAAATGGATGACAAAACAAAAAGTAGAGTATCTACATTCCGGCATGTGAGAACAACTTCAGAACTTCATAGTTCTTGTAGTATTGCATTCTTCTTATGTACAGTTCTAGGTTTTGTTAGGGTATTTCAATTTTGATGTGTCAGTTGAGATATAGGTGGATTGCGGACAAAATTTAGAATCATTGCATGGTACCTAGATAGGTACTTGTTGGGTAAAAAGGTATGTGATGAATGCCACGAGAAGGTTTTTTAATGATTTAATATATGGTTATTGTTGTGCCTACAAAAATGCACGCTCCTACTAGCACCTAGTTTTTGAATCAAATCGAAAGTACCTATTTGCTATGAATGTAAATATGTACCTGCAAAGTATGTCAATAAATTTGTGTGATGTTGACCAGAGAGCCGTATCATCTGGGCATTTATGTTGCTTCTTACATTAGGTGTTAAGCATAGTAATTATGGATGAACTTTGTGCAAATATCTTCAATGCACAGTGTATGTAGCATGTCTACAACCCTCACTGATCCTGCTATAGCTATAGGCATTTGGCACCAGCAAGACCAAGGGCATGAACTTCACAGTTGCTCAACCCTTTGTCATGCACCACCAGTCACTTTTTTTCCTTACATAGCAGTGTACACAATAATGTGCGGAGGGCCTACACAAAAACAACATTATTAGTGTGCACTATGATGCACAACATTGTACCCTGATTATTTGAATATTCTGATCACTCAACAGTCAACAGTCAGGAGACCATTTTTGAATGTCACATTTATTATACATCACTCGTCAAACAAGAGCATGATGACTCACATTTTGACAAGCAATCATGGTAATATTCCAATAAGTTGGACACCTCCCTGTCCCTGGGCATCATTTTTCCAGGAAGGTACCTCTGCAGCAGGTGTTGTGATAGGTTAGGTTGAATTGGGCTAAGTTAGGTGAAGTAAGACGGTTAGGACCAGGTCAGACCGTAAGGCCTGGTCAGGCTGATTTTAATCTTTCATTCTAATTTGACATAGATACCTATTATTACCTATGTTTTTGCTCCAGAATGAACTTCATTAGGTAATGAGTTCATTTTGTTTTGTTTTTTATCTGTCTTGTTTTGTGTTTTTGTCCCTTATGTTTTGCCCCATAGGCAAGGGTGGAGCTTTTCCAGGGAAGGTGGTGGGGCAAAAAGCCGTCAAACCTGCAATGCTCGGTGCAACTCAGATTATGGTTCAGATTATGTGCAACACTGAATCAATTCTTTTAATTACAGAACATTTTGAATTATACATACATTTCAAAGCTCCTCAATGCGAACAACATGGTGGTTTACTAAGCAACGAAGTTCTACAAATAAGCAAAAGTTGGAGGGGCATAACGCTATTTTTTCTCTGACAGCTTCGTAACATGTTACGAAGGCACTAAAACTACTTCAGTACCTACAGAGTGTAACGAAATTATCCGGCCACATCTATTTTTTCGCCATATCTGTTCGCAGTTTCCTAATCCTTTCTGATGTTAGAAGTGGGAATACTGGATGAATACGTGCCTCTGCTATCGGTTTTTAACTCAGCAGTGACCTGACCTTGTCATGTGACTGTTGCTCTGACTAGGAGTCGATTCACAGACGGGTTCACATGGTAGTTTTTGTCCAAGCCAGTTGCGAGAAAGGGATACAATCTCTCCTTTCGTGGTAAAATTGCATGGCGGCACCCACGGCGTCATGAGCCAGAAGCTGGTCTGCCAGCAGCTGGACATCAGCAGCAGCCAATTGCACATCTGCCTGAGGCGTGGTAAGCTGGGACTTCGATAGCAGACTCAGCCCGGTCGTGACCACAAAAGCCGCCCTTTGTCAAGTGGTGAGGAGAGTCAAGATAGCGGCAAGGAAATGCCACCAATCAATCCGCAAATTGACTCGAATTCTTACCAAGTCAGATAATAAGAGTCCCATATCATGGTTTACCGCTACCCGCCCTTTAACTTGGTTCTAGTGCCCTTCAAACCGAAAAAGACAACGAAACTGACGGGAAAACAACCAGTTCACCACCTTTCGCCTCACGCCAGATCGCGTCCACTGGTTGAACAAAGATAATGGTGAGGTGGTCTGGTTGGATGGGTAGCCGTTCGAGCTGTATTATCCTTTGAACCGTCAAATCGGACATGTATGGGCGCCCAGCCGCTCGAACTTGCTGGCCTTTGCCGCCGTCAAACATCCGGACAATATCCAGAACTGGAGCATGTTCAGCTGCCTAGCGATGCTCCAATAGGACAGTGTCACATAATACCGCCATCAACGTCAAGCATTACGGGAGCAACATACTGGCCAATGAATGGTTGGAGCCGCTCAACCAGACGGTATAGGAGGGCTCGGTTTCTGAACGCGCACTGATGCCTGATTCAAGCCACGCTGTCTTCATGCGCGGCGTGCTACTTAAAAGTCCCTAAAAGAACGGGCAGTGATGCCGATAGAACCTTCAATTATTCTGGGCTAACGCTTATGACTTGGAAAAAGTCGCGATCCCAATTCAATCGAAAAACTGTGGGCTCTTGTTCAGCAGGTGACTGAAGAGACGCCCGCCACAAGCACCGCCCAACCGCAGGCACAGCTTTAGACGGCGTTGGTCCGCATCAAAGCCAGTGTGCTGGAGAATCCAGTGGCTGAAATGCTCCAGAACATTCGCCACTGTGTTTTTATGAAAGGTGGCTACATGCTCAGTTAAAAGAAAAAGTACCAGAATGTTTTGCTTTTTAATTACAGCGGGAAGAAAGGTGCCCGATAATTTCGTTACACCCCCTGTAATGTTCAAATGGTTGCTAAATTCGAAATCAGCTCCAAAAACTAGCCTAGAAACATGTGAAACTCGAAAAAGTGAACCGAGGTCAACAAAGGTCATTGAGCTGACCTGACCTTCAGGTGACCTTGACACCCACCCTCATGCAGAGGACCAGCATCATATCACATGTTTCAACGCTTGAAACCACGTAAAGACTGCAAACGCGCGGCTAATCGGACTGCAGACGCTTCAGCATAGTCGGACGTGGTATTGAATGCTCCGTAATTATAGCGTAAATTCTGCTGAATGGTATGGAACTAGAGTCTGAAATGCAGATTAGAAGATAGATTAGGTGTTGGTGTGCCTAATGGTTGTTGTTTCATCTGGAAGTATGAACTGGCTTAGATGCATTAATTAATTTAAGTTTCTTGTTTTTCGCTGTGAAAACATATTTTGCATAATTTTTCCAGCAAGAGATCCTCAATTTTCTTGCTCGAATTTTGAAGATCACGAGAAACAGCATATATACCTCTTTGGTCTGAGCCTCTTCTTTAGTGGGATCCAAGAGTTCGGCTATCAGTGCTAGCGCAAAAATCGAAGTTTCTTTTTGAAAAAGGCAGCAAGCAGTTCGTAAAATGACAACAATTATCAACGAACTGTTGTGCTACATGCTGAATAAGGTCGACAGTATACCTCAGGATACACTAGTGCGCCTGATTTCCGAGAATTTTAATGACGATGAAGTTGAAACTGCAAAAAGTCTTCTTTGTTCTCACGTGGATGATTCTGTCAAGGCTGGTAATCGTCGTGGGCAGAATAAAAAACAGCTGAATATTCAAGATATCTTCAAGATGATCCTTGAATGCAACAGAGGTGACCTGCCGAGGTTCGTCGCACTGAACCTTGATAAGCTGCCGCCGATATCGATAGACTGCATCGATGTGAGCGCGCTCCTCAGGAAACAGCAATTGATGGAGATGGACATGTCTCAGCTGAAGTCCACTGTTGATGAAGTGCTGAAGGTGAGCGCTGAGACGTCGCGAAGAGTCGAGACTGTGCTGTGCGCCGGTGCTGGTGCCGGCCGGGTCAGTCTGACGACGCTGAATGCTCCCGAGCGACCGGTCCCTCAGGAGAGGACCTCTGCCACTACCAGCGCGGAAGGACCGACTGCTTCGACCCGTCCTGGAGGACACCCCGCCACCCAGAGAACGCCTGGATCTGCGCCAGAGCTTGGCGAGTCGCGTCTTCCTGCCCATCCAGAGGGTAGGGTGCCGGAGGCGGCGGCGGCGGCGGCGTCATACGCTGCTGTTGCTGCTGCATCTGTGCCTTCAACGGAGGAGGGCTGGAACATTGCCAACAAGGCTAAGCGCGGTACCAATCCTGCTGAGCGAGGTAAGGTGGCTGCTGCGAAACCGAGAGGCAAAGTTATGCCAGCGAAAAGTGTAGTTGGGCTCCAAAAATCAAATGTGATCAAAGCTGTTCAGTCTGTGAAGCGCATCTCGCTCTTCGTATCTCGGCTCCCACCTGGCACAGACACTGTCACTCTGCAGGAGTATGCCAAGGAGCAGGTAGGAGCGTCAGAAGTGGTGGCAACCAAACTGGAGACTAGGTATGACTCTTATGAATCCTATCGTCTCGATGTGACCGATCCGTC